TAAGACTTCGGTTTAGCAATTAACATTTTAATGTTTAATGTTTTTTTTTTAAATTTTATTGGCAGTATCATTTATTATATGGTATTTCTAGGTGTTGTGTTGGATAATAACCGAACACAGGGTTCGTGATATACATATATTTATTCTGCTTCAAACTACGTCCTGCTACACGAGTTACAAGATATAAACTGTGTACGCTTTCTATAGGTTCTAACACTCCCCAACTCCCATACTGCACCCATATCACATACCATGTATATCAACCAACCCCCATACTGCACCCATATCACATACCATGTATATCAACCAACCCCCATACTGCACCCATATCATATATCATGTATATCAACCAACTCCCATACTGCACCCGTATCATATATCATGTATATCAATCAACTCCCATACTGCACCCATATCATATATCATGTATATCAACCAACTCCCATACTGCACCCATATCATATATCATGCATATCAACCAACTCCCATACTGCACCCATATCATATACCATGTATATCAACCAACTCCCATACTGCACCCGTATCATATGTCATGTATATCAATCAACTCCCATACTGCACCCGTATCATCTATCATGTATATCAATCAACTCCCATACTGCACCCATATCATATATCATGTATATCAGTCAACTTCCATACTGCACCCATATCATATATCATGTATATCAATCAACTCCCATACTGCACCCATATCATATATCATGTATATCAATCAACTCCCATACTGCACCTATATCATATATCATCTATATCAATCAACTCCCATACTGCACCCGTATCATATATCATGTATATCAATCTACTCCCATACTGCACCTATATCATATATCATCTATATCAATCAACTCCCATACTGCACCCGTATCATATATCATGTATATCAATCAACTCCCATACTGCACCCGTATCATATATCATGTATATCAATCAACTCCCATACTGCACCTATATCATATATCATCTATATCAATCAACTCCCATACTGCACCCGTATCATATATCATGTATATCAATCAACTCCCATACTGCACCCATATCATATATCATGTATATTAATCAGCTTTCATTCATTCATTGCAGCAAGCGTGGGAAGATTAATCTGATTGCAGACTATGTTTACACTACACTAGGTATCCGTTGAATATTTTCTTGTTTCTATTCAAATACGAAACTTATTGTTTGAAAGGAGAAAAAATATCATAGTCTGGTGGCATAAAGTAATACTGGTACTTCAAAATCCCGGAAAGATTAGGAGTAAAAGTATACATGTTCAGTTACAAAATATCAATTTAATTAGCAATGGCCTATGCATAATTAAGGAATATTTCCCACCACACAGCTTCATACCAGAAGAGAGAGAGAGAACCAAACTTAGCATCAAAATCTGTCTTTCTCCCTTTTTTGCAAGACGACCATAACAAATATGAATTTAATTGGGCATCGATGAAAAATACAGAAAATTTTTGGTCGAGAGAATCACAGACAGACAAACGATTACTATAGGGCTCCGGCATATCCCTGCGAGGCCCTAATTAACAACTTTTGTTTTTGCTGTTGTTTTGTTCTGCCTGCTAAAGCCCTGAAAATGTAAATGCCCTTGTATTTCTTTACAAAAAGCATGAATGGAAGCGGGTAGAGGTCTAGAAGCATTGTTATCATAGGGCTATATGCCTATAACCCTGCTTATGTTAAATATCAATTAGGATTAAATAAGTCCTACCTTTACATTTTTTGTTGTTGCAATTTTGACATCTGATTATAATTGAAAATCTGAAATATGAAAAATTACCTTTTTTATTTTCTGTTACTTTACTTTACTCAAACAAGTCATTAATTTTGTTCAGAAATAAAACAATGCAAAACAAATTCACGTGTTTTTTCTTAAAAATTCAATTTTTTTTTTAAATGAAAACCGTTTAATATTACAGCAAATCCAATAAATAGGATATCGTATCAAAATAATTTGTATCGTATCGAAAAATTTTGACCCATACACACCCCTAGTCATTAGACCTGATTTTTCGTAAATTATAAATCATTCGTCAGTCAGTCTGTAGTTCTGTCCGACTGTCACAAAAAGTTGAACCTTGGTAAAAGGTAAAGCTGTCATAATACACATGTGTAATTTCTGAATGATACATGATAGGACATTCATATATAACAAAACATGCCATAAATATTGACATGTCACTCACAAATACAGCGAAAGGGGGATCCACAGTTCTTTGAATTTGTTTATTATTTCTAGATTAATCCCTGTTCATAATTACCATCTTTATAACAGTCCGGAATCCAAATAGATCAATAATCTAAATTTGCAGCTATGATTAATGCAGGCATGGGTCCCAACCCCCTCCCACCCATGTGATAAAGTTTCTGGCACGTTGTAACATCTTATCAATGGACCCTTTTCCTATGACATATTTAGGAGTTATTTCCCTTTATTGAAGGGCAACATTCTAAGATCCCTTCATTATTAAACCAAGTTTAATTTGTTATACTGTTTTTTTTCTTATGAATATAATTGTGTTAAAACTTCTATGAATTTTGTACCCCCCCCCCCTTCATATATTTCTTGCATGCATGTTAAAAATTGATTGCTCGAAGAGGTACATTCCCGACTTTGCCCTGCAAGATGGCGGGTTAAGGGGAATAACAAAATATGACATAAGAAAAGGGTTTATAGACGAGTCGAACCTCTGGTAGAAAGAAAAAATCTTTAAACACCCCTAACAGAATGTGTTCCTCCTACAAGAGGGCCTTTGAAGAAAACACCATAGAACTAGATATCGCGTAATCAGCATTAATATTACTTCCTTTCTAACAGCGATCTTATCTCCTTCAATGAAACAGAACTAGAAACACCGACCATATGTATGGACACAGAACTAAAAACACTAGCAACTAGAAACACCAACATAAGACGGACTTCAAAGGCCCAGCGATGATCGGCTTATCACCCGAGCTCTGGTTTTTTGAGCAAAAATATATCCATCTGGCCAGGAGATTGCCCAACTTCGTCTTCAAGATGGCGGATTCGGTTTGCATAATTAAGGAATATTTCTCACCACACAGCTTCATACCAGAAGCGAGAGAGAACCAAACTAAGCATCAAAATCTGTCTTTTTCCCTTTTTTGCAAGACGACCATAACAAATATGAATTTAATTGGGCAACGATGAAAAATACAGAAAATATTTGGTCGAGAGAATCACAGACAGACAGACAAACGATTACTATAGGGCTCCGGCATATCCCTGCGGGGCCCTAATTAACAACTTTTGTTTTTGCTGTTGTTTTGTTCTGCCTGCTAAAGCCCTGAAAATGTAAATGCCCTTGTATTTTTTTTTACAAAAAGCATGAATGGAAGCAGGTGGAGGTCTAGAAGCATTGTTATCATAGGGCTATATGCCTATAACCCTGCTTGTGTTAAATATAACATAACTCAAATAGATGTTTTATAATCCATGAAAATATCGTGATTCAATCTTGAGTGGTTTACAAGAAGATGCTTAGACAAAATGACAATTTAAAAAAAGAAAATTTGACAAAAATTGCGACCGGAAGTGATTTAAATAAAAATGAAAAAATGGTCTGGAGATATTACAACAATGCATCATTCCTGAAAAAATCATTGAAATCGGTTCAGTAGTTTCCGAGATATCACGTGCACTATGAAAAGGGAAAAATAATAATAATAGGAAACATAAGAAAAACAGTAAAGTCTTCCGAAGGAAGTCGTAAGACCATAATAATAAGAAACGGATTAAAAACAATATGTTCCCCAACTTCGTTTGGGGAACATAATTAGTTGTTAATGTCACAGGGTGAATAAATTAATATTATAATAAATACTATATGATTTATTCATTAATAATTTGTGACCTAATATACTAATTATTTCATTATCATCATCATCATTTTCATCCATTATACAGCATAGTAACTACAGTCCTCTGGAATTTACTATGTGTTGAAGTTCATTTATGAAGTCGCTCATTCATATTCATGGGGTTGAATGCTCATTGGGTGGTTTGAGAGTGTTAAAGGTCAAAGGTGTTTAAGTCAGAGTGGGTGCGGCTTGAAGCTGTTTGATTGGTTGATATTTTAGTGTGAGAAGTGTGCTTTGCGCCAAATACCCTTAATAACTCACTCCACCCTAAGACAGCCAGGAGAAAGGAAGAGTTTATCTCCACTCCATAAAGTCTCTTATTTGATTAATAAAGACAACTTTATACCTGTCTATTCGGTAAGAATTAATTTACCACCGTAGCTCTGAATAATTATATTAAATACCCTATCTATTGATTATCTAATTAAAGACGACAGTTAAACTAATTTAAAATAATTAAATGTGTGAGTGTTTAGTGTACGAGTGTATTCATTTATTTTACAGGTCACCTTTTGTTACTTGCTATCCTTCTTATTACAACTGAAATACAGATAAACAAATGAACCCACCAACAGCTCTTTTGTTATAATTATATGGAATAACAAATATAGTTAGGCTCTGACAATGGCGCCCAACGGTGTAATTAAGAAATAAGGTATCATTTTTTTTGAGTTTTATTGAGATGTAAAACAGGTTGGTCACGTGATCAAATCCCATAAAGCCCGAAGGGCTTTATGGAAGATTTGATCATGTGCCAACCCGTTTTACATCTCAATAAAACTCAAAAAATGATATCTTATTACTTATATTTACATTTGTGACTTTACTTTATATTTGCCTGAGTGTTACTTTTAACGTGTGAAATGCCTTAATTTTTCAAACCCAACGGCATGTATGTAATCCACTAAACGCGCGTCGACCCTTTATGACGTCACAGAGAAATTACGTCGAACGTTTATCCAAACGCACATCTATGACCTCTTGATCCCATACCTGTATTTACACAGTTATAAAAACGCTTGCCTTTAGTAGTGTTATATAAAGGAAAACATTTGCAAATGTAAATATTTTCAGTTAAAAAGAATTCATAAGGTGATTCGATCTCATCGGTGGAGAAATCATCCATCCATTCATTCTTCTTTTATTATCATTCATTATGTGAATTCATCATTTCAACACTGTTTTTTGTGTTTCTGAGTTTTACGCAGAGGCCTAACTTCTTCGGAGGATGTACCGTTATGTTCCGTGCACTTAATCTACATATTTGTGACGTCACAGACACATGAACCTAGGTTACTTTCGTTTTCGCTGGATATCCGAGGATTTTCGCCGCTGGAACCCGTTTTCTGGACGACGCTGGACCAGTGACTGTTTTCCAAGGATTCTGTGATCTTATTTAACTCTTAATCTTTATATTTTCATTGTGTTTGTTTAAATTGCATACATGTGATATTGTTTATTTTCATGTGCATGGTGTGAAAGTTGCATGACTGCCACGAGTGTGTAAAATTTCTTAAAGTTTAAAGTAAAAGTTAAACAGTTAAAGTAAGTAATTAATAGCAATACAGTTATTGACATTCATAACATCCCCGCATGTCTCTTAACAAGATGCACTACTAACAACAAGTACGTAATCACGATTGTGTTTTGAAAGATAGAGGAAATTCGAGTTAGCAGGTGCGAGGTGAGAAATAGAGTATAGCTGTTGTCAGGAGAACCTGGTAGTAAAATTAGGTTTCATATTCATTTCAGCTCATATCATCATCAAATCATATCATACAAACCTGTCATCAAATATTAACCAGTTTAATTGAATTTTTGTGTTTTGCAGGTGCTACTTGTTACAGTGTACCTTTTGACAGCTGATTTATCTGATTACTTTAACATGATCTTTACTTAATAATTTGTTGCAGGTATTCAAATTCTTGCAGGAAAAGAAGAAGTGAAAGCATTGTTTATTTTCATATATATTCATTATTTAGTTTATTTGTATTTAATTGTAAATTTTCCTTTGTTCATCTAGGTATATATGAGCAACAGCAAATTATTGAAGTATTTAGAAAGACTAATTATATCTAAATCTGTAGTTAGTAGACCAATATTAATTAGTCACAGTAAGGGTTACTACTTAAACAAACATTTAGATTTGTTGAAAATTAGTAGAGTATTTGTGCAGTTTGAATGTAGACCAGGAGCTCGTTTCGCAGATTTCTATCCGTGGCTGAAAAGAAACTTAGCGGGTCTTGTACAGCAATACGGCCAGATTACGCTCTATATTTGGCTTGGAACCTGTGATATAACCCAAAAGTCAGGAAAATATATTGATTTAAGGTGTGTGAACAAAATATCATTCAGTATATTGATTTATTTGTATCTTTTATCAATCAGTTCAAGGAGGTTACACCTGTATTTTTGGACATTCCTCCATATTCAATTGTGGACTGGAATAAAACAAAATTTCACAGTAATCCTGAAAATTTCAAAGATCAAGACAAGGCTTTAAATGAAATCATTGGCATCCTGAATGATTACATCAGGAATGTAAATTCTAGTCGTCTTGTTTCTGGGCCTAGATTTAAGCCTGATTTATTGAGATACAGAAAAGAAAAAGGCAAGTGCCAACGTATTTCATACAATTTTCAGTTGTACATAGATGGAGTTCATCCAGGCTCTTTGTTAGGAAGAGTATGGTTGAAAAGACTGATTGATTGCATTTTTATCAATTCATCATAATGTTTACTTAGATACTGTTATATGTTTTATTGGTGCATTATTCTGAGGCAGGTTCGTTTCTGTTGGTAGGGACAGACCCAATCACAGAAAATATCCCTGTTTCATATAAATTGTACCATAGATTTTATTGTCAGATATACATATACATGTTGCGCTGCTAGGTCAATATTGGAAGAGGGATTGACCCAATCATATTATCATACCAGTGCAGTTGTTACTTGTATATTGTATAAAATTAAGTAGTCATTAGTTTTATCAATCTTAGATTATGGCTACTGGAAACGGTAATGGTAATGGTACAGGTGAAGAAGGGGAAGAAATTTCTATTAAACAGCACATAGATGAAGTAAACAAAGACCCAAACTATAAGGTTCTTACAAAAGAGGAATATGAAATATTAGTAAATGCAGGTCTTAAACAAGAGCAAAAGACAAGTACTCCTTTTAAAAGTCCAGGTTGGCATCCATTTTCTCCAATGTCAAAGTTACTCAATACAATAGGTGATTCCAAAAACCTTGATAATGTCTCCATGTTACAAGGTAATCAATATCCCACCCCTAAATTACCAACATATAGTGGAACAGATGAACCACAGAAAGGGGAAGTTAGGTATGAGATTTGGAATTTTGAAGTAAAGTGCTTTATACTAAATTCAAATCAGTACCCAGAACATATTCTACTTCAAGCCGTGAGAAATTCTCTGAAAGGTTTAGCTAGAAGTATGTTAGTGTCAGTTGGGGATAAAGCTTCTATCCAAGACATTTTGAGAAAATTAGATGGATTTTTTGGCAATGTCGCCTCAGGCGAAACGCTTATGCAGACATTTTACAATGATTGTCAAAAAGAGGGGGAATCCATTGTTGTGTTTGCTTCTACATTAGAAGACATATTATCAAAAGCGATCAAATTTGGTCACATTGGTAATGAGGCAAAAGATGGGATGCTAAGAAGTAAATTTTGGACTGGTTTAGGTAGTCAACAATTAAAACAAAGCACAAGACATCTGTTTGACTCTATTAAAAATTTTGAATCTTTACTTAGGGAAATTAGGAAAGTGCAAGAGGAGATAACATCACAAAGGAGTACTGGGACAACAAAGCAAGAAAGACAGGCATTTCAACAGGCAGAGAGAGAGCAGAGACTACTACATCATCAACAGACCTACAGAAAGAAATACAGACAATGGTAAGGACAATGGAAAGGTTAGAACGGATAATTGACAGTAATGCAAAAAGTTTCCAACAATTGAACAAGAGAGTTTATGAATTAGAAAATAATACCTACGGACAACAAAGTTTTTATTCAAATAGAGGTTCATCTACAAGGGGTAGATTCAACTACTCAAACAGAAGTTTTGGTCGAGGTCGTGGTCAAAATCAAGGTCAAAATCAGGGTCAGAGCCAAGGTCAAAGTCACGTTCAAAGTCAAAACAAACCATCCCAAGGTGGACAGAATTCAAAAAACTAATAACCTCTTCTATTAAAGGGCAGATGGAGGATGAAAACAAGGTTCAGAAAAGCCCTATTAGAAACACAAATTCTGAATCTAAAGATTTGTTATCAAGAATAGTTGGACATCAGAATGAAAGTATCATATCTCTAAATGGTGTAGAAACAAAAGCTTTGATTGATACTGGATCAATGGTCACTTGTATGTCTGAAAATTTTTACCAATCTTTACAAGACAAACCAGAGTTGCATAATATAGAAGACTTTGAACTCAAAGTTTATAGTGCAGAAGGGAATTCTTTACCATTTTCAGGATATATTGAAGTTGAATTACAAGTTCCATATTTGTCCTTGAATTCTTTTTATGTACCAGTTCTAGTCACAAAAGGAACTGAATACAATAGTAAAGTTCCTGTTATTGTAGGTACGAACGTTATAAGGTTGTGTAAAGATTATGCAAACTCAGAACATACAGATGTTCCAGAGGAATGGAAATTAGCATTTGCAAATCTTAGTGTAAACAATAATTTTCCTGTAAAGACCACTAACAAATATGCAATTACAGTAGGTCCTTATGAGGTAAAAACTATCTCATGAATAGTCAAGTCGTGCAACAGCATGCAGGTAAGTGCCGCTATTACAGAACAAATTGAAAACCAATCAAATAACAACAGTCATTTAGTATGTCAAAGAGTAGTATCACTCAAAAATGGGAAGACCTCAAGGATTCCGATAAGGGTATGTAACATGTCAGCACGACCAATCAAAGTGTCACCAAAGTCCCTTATTTGTAAATTAAGTTCTGTAAAAGTAGTAGATGCTTGGGAACCTTCAACATCAAATGATTCTAGAAACAAATCAGAATTAGACCTATTAGAGTTAGGGGTGAAAATCAATGAAAACAAATTATCCCCTGATCAAGTTGAGAGTTGTCACCAATTTGTGAACAAATGGAAACATATTTTCTCTACTTCTTTAAAAGATATTGGTAGAACAGACTTAGTGGAGCATGAAATTAATTTGTCAGATAATACTCCAATTAAGGAACCGTATAGATGAATACCTCCAGGAATGTATGAAGAGGTAAGGCAACATCATAAAGAAATGTTAGAGGCAGATGCCATAAGAGAGTCAAAAAGTCAATATTGTTCAAAAGTTGTACTTGCTAGAAAGTCAGATGGTTCTTTAAGATTTTGCATTGATTTAAGAAAGTTAAATAACAAAACCATCAAGGATGCTTACAATCTCTTAAGAGTTGAGGAAACCAAAGACACTCTTATTGGTAGTAAGTACTCCATGGCACCTGATCCCACCTCTGATGTTTCGGAGGTCCGTGTTTGCTCTGCTCTTATTTTGTATATTTGTTAAATGGACGTTGAGATTGAATACTGTTCGTTATTTCCATATCCTTCTTACAAAGTTGGATCTTAGATCTGGATACTGGCAGGTTGAAATCAAAGAAGAAGATAAACACAAAACAGCGTTTTCATTAGGTCCCCTTGGATTTTATGAGTGTTACCGCATGGTTTTTGGTTTAACAAATGCTCCCGCCACATTTCAGCGATTAATGGAGAATTGTATGGGGGAAATGAATTTAAAACAGTGTTTAATATTTTTAGATGACATCCTTGTTTTTTCTTCTACATTTGAAGAGCACTTAGAAAGATTAGAAGGTGTATTTAAGAGACTAGAAAAACACAATTTAAAGTTGAAACCTTCAAAATGTGAATTTTTTATGTCTGAAGTGAAGTTTTTAGGACATGTTGTATCACAGAAGGGAATACAAACAGATCACAACAAAATTTCAGCATTAAGGTAGAATGCCACACCAATTTTTTATTTTATGGATCTATGAGTCATCCTTTCTAAATAATGGTTTCAGCATTGAAAGGCCGATATTAGCTCTTAGTTATTTTATATGAATTTTTTTGTATTTTTTCAAAGAAAATGAAAAACATTATTCACATCCAAATAAGATGCTTTCTTGTAAAAATTTTGCTGTAAATGAATGCATGACATGTGCATGAATACCTAATAAAATATGAAAAGAAAGTCTGGTTAGACTTTTTGATTTTTTTTATAAAAAATTATTTATGAAAATTAAACACATTATTTGTAAATATTTTTTAAACCTATGGTTAAAAACACCATAAAACTAGTCACAACTAAGGAAAACATGTTTGTCAATCATATTTTTCAAAGAAATTGAAACGAAATTGAGAAATTTTAGAGAAATTAATTTTTTTAATATTTGGACCTAACCCGATCAAAATTAAACTGATCCCGATCAAAAATAACACAAAATGAATAAAATGCTAATTTATTGCCTCTTCATGTATTAACAATGAATAAATCTATTTTATTGACAGGTTCTATAATGTTTTAACCCTTATAACACCAAATCAACTAGTGTTCTTAGGAAAATGTTATTTATTTCCAATAATTGTACAATTATGGTCGGGGTCGGTTTAATTTTGATCGGAATTGGCCAAAATTAAAAAAAATAATTTCTCTAAAATTTGACTACTTCGTTTCAATTTCTTTTATAAATATGATTAATGAACATGTTCTCCCCAGTTGTGGCTGGTTTTAAGAAGATTTTAACAACAAGTTTAAAAAATATTCACAAATTATATGTTTTATTTTCAGAAATATTTTTTATAAAAAAAATTAAAAAGTCTAATCAGACTTTCTTTACATATTTTATTAGGTATTCATGTGATGCATTCATTTACAGCAAAAATTTTACAAGGAAGCACCTAATTTGGATGTAATTAATTTTTTTCGTTTTCTTTGAAAAAATACAAAAAAATTCATATAAAATAATTAAGAGCTAATGTCGGCCTTTCAATGCTGAAACCATTGTTTAAAAAGGTTGACTCAGAGATCTATAAAATAAAAATTTGGTGTGGCATTCCTCCTTAAAAACATGGCCAGTTCCTAAAGATATAAAATCTCTACGTTCTTTTCTAGGATTTACAGGCTACTACCGGAGGCTACTACCGAGATTTGTCAAAGATTATGCCAGATTAGTAACACCTCTCAATGACTTATTAGGTGGACATCCGACTAATAAGAAGTCCAAGGCATGTAAGAAAAAGAAGACTCCTTGGGTATGGGTTAAGAAAGAACAACAGTCATTTGAAACAATGATACAGAAACTTACCTCACTTCCAATATTAGCCTTTGCAGACTTTTCACAGCCATTTAGTGTTAATATTTATGCTTCAAAGAAAGGTTTAGGGACAGTATTATATCAAAATCAAGGAGGTTTAGATAGAGTTATTGCATATGCCAGTAGAGGACTACGGTCAAGTGAGCAAAATTACCATGCCCACAAATTGGAATTTTTATGTTTAAAATGGGCCTTATGTGACAAATATCATGACTACTTATATGGCAATACATTTGATGTATTTACGGATAATAATCCATTAACATATGTATCTACCACAGCCAAATTAGATGCAATGTCGCACAGGTGGTTGGCATCTCTTTCCAATTACAATTTTAAATTACATTTCAAAACAGGTAATTCAAACAGAGATGCAGATGGATTATCTCGTAGACCTACAGAAATTTGTCCTAATGTTATCAAGGCTTTAACTTCAGCTGTGCTAGTAGAAAAGGAAGAACTTCCTTTGGCTGAAAGTTTAGTTTTGTCAAAAAATGCTACACTACAAAGTAGTAGTGAGGATAACGAACTGCAAGAATTTAGCAATATTAACTGGGCTATAGAACAGAGAAAATATACATCTATTAAAAGACTTATAGAGTTGTTAGAAACAGGTTTGAAACCAGAGAGTAGAGAGTTAAGACATGAAAGCTTAGAGGTAAGAGAATACCTGAGAGAGTGGAGAAATTATGAAATACATAAGAATTTTTTTTATCGTCACACTATGATTGATAGCAAAAACATTAAACAACTAGTTTTACCATCACATTACAGAGATGTTGCTTTTAAAGGTATACATAATGATGTTGGCCACCAGGGCAGAGACAAAACTTTATGGTTGGCAAAACATAGATTTTATTGGAATGGTATTGAAAAAGAAATCAAACAAAGAGTTGAAACTTGTGGTAGATGTGTTCGTAGAAAAACAGCAGAAAGCCCCAGAGCTAATCTTCTAAATATACAAACTACTAAACCTTTAGAAATACTATGTATTGATTTTTTAACATTAGAAAAGTCTAAAGGTGGGTTTGAGAACATTTTGGTAATAACCGACCATTTTACGAAATATGCTACGGCAGTTCCAACTAAGAATCAGCTAGAAAAAACAACAGCTAAAGCTCTGTTTGAGAATTGTATTTGTCATTACAGTTTTCCAGAAAGACTTTACTCTGATCAACGTCGTAATTTTGAGAGTACGGTAATTAAAGAACTTTGTGCAATTAGTGGGATTAGTAAAAGTAGAACAACACCTTACCACCCAATGGGAAATGGTCTTGTAGAAAGGTTTAATCAGACTTTAATCAAAATGCTAGGCACTTTGGAAAATTATAAAAAAGAGGATTGGAAATCATATAACTTCCTTTAGTTCATGCGTAGAATGCAACCAAACAAGACACTACAGGATTCAGCCCCCATTATTTGATGTTTGGTTGGCATCCAAGGTTAGCTATTGATGCCTTTTTAAATTTAGATGATTCAGAATCTACAGTAAAACCTAAAAGTCATCTAAACTATGCTGAACAGCTAAAGAAAAGATTACAATTTGCCTACAAAGTTGCAAGATCAAATAGTGATAAGAACAGTTCTCCGCACAAAGAAAACTATGACATTAA